TGCTTTCTGGGGTTCCTCCAGTCTCAGGCCATTAAGTCTGGTCTTTTTACTAGAATTTGAGTTCTGTACCCCACATTTCTCCTGCCCCATCAGGGACTCTTTGTTGTGTTCCCTGTCAGGGTGGTCATAATCCTGTAATATTAAGAGGAAATAAATATGAAAAACTAAATTGTAATAAAATAATATGTTTCAAAATGAAAAGATCTGATAACGATAGTAGAAGATACAGTGGCGTAGTCACATACTTGTACCTACAGAATTACAGGTACAAAGGGAGGTGTGTTGACCAGCAACCTCAATTCCATGAGTGGCATTACTGAACATGATTTTCTGAAATGATGAACTCTTGGTAGAATTTTCCTCAATTTACATGGTAGTTGCATTCATGAAAAGTTCATATATGTTAAAACTGCGAATTTTTTTGTCTTTATATACAGTAAGGAGTTGGTGCTAAATTCAGATAATTATAAACTTTTCTACATACATGAATGTCTGAGTGGATATTCTAAAGTTCTGTGTGACATAAGATAGTTCTTTGTTTTGAAGAACTGTGACTATCCCATGCATTAGGAAGGACTAGGATCTCTGTCCTCTAGTGTGAGTGGTTAACGTTGCCAGGAGTACAGAATCCACATTTCTTTTGTATTCTCCACAGCAGACTAACAAGGCTTTGCAAAATTTTTATTGATCCAGATATTTATAACAAAAACACATCCCTTTGTAACATATTCCAGTGTTTTATAACAAACTTCAGAAGTTTGGAAGGTTGTTCATTCATTACAGTTTGATTGTTTATCTTTTTTGAAATAACATTCTGTGTATCAACAGTATATGATATAGCCATAATAGTTATTATCGTAAGCTTATTGTAAAATACATTGATAATGAATTGTGCTTTTCTGTGTTTGTTTTTCCTAATCAGCTCCTGGGCTATAGTGAAAAACCGATAAATCTGCAGATGTTTATTGGTACAGCAGATGACCGATATTTACGACCTCATGCATTTTACCAGGTGCATCGAATCACTGGGAAGACTGTTGCTACTGCAAGTCAAGAGATAATAATTGCTAGCACAAAAGTTCTGGAAATTCCACTTCTTCCTGAAAATAATATGTCAGCCAGGTATCTTGAGACATAGCCCAAAACGGATAGTATTTTTGTAAAACAACTTTGGGGGAAAATGTGTACTTCTTTTTTTAGTACAAAAGTGAAACATTTATTGTTCTAAACTAACTGACTGACATTATGTGAGTAATTGTAGTACATTTTCTAAGGATGACAGCATAATTTGAGAAAGAAAATTCAATTCAGCAAATGTGTATAGGCCATGTACTCCCAGCCATACATCATCCTAGATGATAAGGATAAAAATATATGGACTTCCTTTTCAAGTAGCTCTGAGTCTAATAGGGTAGACAGTAAATAAATAATCACAATACAGTTATGATTTCTATGTTTTCTTAAGAAAAATTTTGACTCTGCCTCCAGGCATCCCGTTTGATCCATTTACAAATGAAGTAAAGTGGCCAACCTTTTAATGAGAATGGAGTGGAGTTTTGTTCAAGTGGATTAGTTACGATTAAACATGGTTGTCTATAACAGAAACCTGAAATATAATGACTTGAACAGTTAGAGATTTAGTTTTTTTTGTTTTTTTAATTTTGTTTTATTGTTGTTGAGAATATACAAGCAAAACATACACCAATTCACCAGTTTCTCATGTACCATTTGGTGACATTGATTACGTTCTTTGAGTTACGCAGCCATTCTCACCCTCCTTTTCTGAGTTGTTCCTCCTACATTAGCATAATGTTACTACCCCCTAAGTTTCCTATCGCATCTTTTGCGTTGTTGTTGTCAATTTGATCCCGTATAGATAGTTCTTAAAAGAGCATACTGCTCAAGGCAGACAGATTAGCTTTACTAGTTAAGCTAAACTGTTATTTGGTTTTAAGAAGACCTCGGGATATTTTTGGTTTAAAGTTTAAAGATTATTTCAGGGCAGTGATTTTTAGGGGTTCATCTAGTCTTAATGGCTCTAGGAAGTCTGGATTCCATGAGACTTTAAAATTCTGTTCAGCATTTTCCCTCTTTTAATCAAGATTCTTCTATAGAATCTTTGATCAAAATGTTCTGTAATGGTAGCTGGGCACCACCCAGTTCTGGTCTCATGGCAAAGGAGGCAGTTGTTCATGGAGGCAATTAGCCACATATTCCATATCCTCCTCCTATCTCTGACTCTCCTTCCTCTGTTGCTCCAGGCAAATAGAGACCCATTGTTGTGCCTTGGATGGGCGTTTGCAAGCTTGAAAGACCCTAGACACTATGCAGCGAACTAGGAGGTAGAACAGAAGCACTAAACATGTTATTAGGCTAATTAACTGGGATGTCCCATGAATCCCTAAACCTCCAAACCAGGGCTTTAAACCAGTTTGGAACAGTTCAGTAATTGCCGACATAAACGAGGGTAGCATATACCTTGCATAGCAACCAGATCTGTTGCTCTTGGGATTTTGACCCGAGTAAGAAACAAACAGCGGTGCTCCACTCAAAGATAGGAGCTGACCCTGCCACTTTGAATGTGCATCACTCTCCACAGTCTTTCCAGTAATTCAGTCTCCCTCATCAGCCTCCTGAAACTTAAAGGATCCATGTGGAAGACTGGATTTTTGTCAGAACTGTGGAGAGCGACACACATTCAAAGCAGTGCGGCCACCACCTTCAAGTGGGATACCGCTGTTTGTTTCCCCCTCGGGCCAAAATCCCACAGACAACAGATTTGGTTGCTGTGCAAGGTGTATACTGCCGTCACTTAAACGTTGGCAATTACTGAACCATTCCTGAACTGCTCTGAACGGGTTTTGAAGCCCTGCTCCAAGCCAAGAAACCAATTTCCGTGAGGTGAGCCTGTTTTACCTAGGAACTAATTACTAGAGTAATTTATGATAATTGAATATAATACAGTTTCAGACAGTGGTAGATATAAAATTCTTAAGTGATAAGAAAGCCATTGTTCAGAATAATGTATGCATAAGTGAGTGTTAGATATGTATTGAATGCCTCTACTGTTCTCGAAAGACAATACAGTAGGGAAAGATTGGTAGCTATTCCCCTAAACCACCGGTTTGGTCATTTCAAGTCTAATCAGTCATGGATGTTGAGTCTTTATTCAAGACCAGTACACTAACCCATAAGCCATACAGCCACCTTGCAAGATTCTTTAAATATAGGATAATAGTATTCATTGCCTTACCTGGTCATAACTCCTCCCTGTTTTTAAAACTGGATGGATATGGATGTGACAGTGTTATACTGTAATCTAAAATGAAGATAGTTATAGCTTTAAACAGAATTTAATAGTTATTTTCACACTACTTAATGTAGGTTTTGTTTGTGTTGGTTTCTTTTGCATTCTTTTAGTCAGAGTTTTAAAATTGTTATTTCTGATACTCTTATTCTAGATCTTCCATTAGAAACTTAGTTCCCTGCTAAAATACTTTTACTCAGTACCCAGTGGAAAGGATGATGATATCTGGTATTTTCCCTGAAGACCTATGTTGGCATGTTAACATGAAGAATCCCTACCTTGGTACAATCTGATCCATACTGCTTTGAGCTAAAGTGCAATTGTTCAGTATTAGTTAAATATAATCTTTGTTATCCATAAATAACCAGTGGTTATTTTCAAAATTGTTTCCTTTTTAGAAATTTTCTTCTCCATGTGTCTTTTTGAAGTTGAAAATATTTGAAAGCTTTAAAAACTTCTTTTTGATTCTCTCCTATGGTTTCCTGGTTCTTACCTTGATAACGTAATTCTATAATGTGTTGTCCTTCAAAGAAATTTCTGCAGCCCCTGGGCAGTGAGCTTAAAGTTGAAACTATTGATAGATAAAGTAAAAGTACAGATAACAAGAAAAGCCATATAGTGAATAAACTTTAAATTAACTAGAATGTCTGACCATTAGTTATCCACTTACTTTATTCTTCTAGTATGTTAATAACAAAGATATGCCGTGGTTACTGTTGTTTCCTACCATGGTAGTGTGTTAAGCAGCCATACTTAGTAATAAATTTTGAAAATGATGAACTGTTAGACCTTAAATGAAGCACCTTAATCTTATATGTATGTTCCTTAGAAATGCAAGAATCTTGGCCTGATAAATTGTTTTTATTAATAAATGCAGCACTATAAAAGTCTAGGTATGCTATTGATGACTTATGTGCAGTCCTACAAATAAATCTTTTTTTTTTTTTAACCTAGTTGCATATGTAGAATAAAAGAGTTTTTATTTTATGTTTCAATTATCTAGTTTTGTGTAACAGATCACCCTGAAATTTAGTGATTTTAGGCAATAACTGTTTATTATTTCTCATGATTCTTTGGGTTGGTTGGGTTCAGCTGGTCAGTTCACTTAGCATTGGCTGTGGTCATTGATACATCTGGATTCAGCTGGTAGCTCCGCTGGATTTGGAACATCCAGGGTGGCTGGAGTTGCTAGAATAGATGAGGAGAGCAAAAGTAGAAGCTGCCAGGTTTCTTAAGGGCTAAGCTCATAATATGCACAGCATCAGTTCGCCACATTGTGTTTATCAAAGCAAGTCACAAGGCCAGCTCTCCTTGTGACCCCTTGTAGACCCCACTTCTTATTGGGAGGAGTGGCGTATGAATACAGGAATGGGGAGGAGTTATTGACAGCCATCTTTGCAGTCAATCCACCAAGCTTATTTGCACTGTTGTCTTACAAAACCATTTTGAAACTCTAAATTGAAATAGCAGAGAATTGCAATCACACATGTCTTTCTTCTTTGGCCTGATTTTAGGTAATGGTAGTACTTCCCTACTGCATTAACCTTATCTATATAATTGACTTGTTTAGAACCACTAATTATCAATAAGCAACTAAAATTTTTACATTTTTGTCCTAGTATTGACTGTGCAGGTATCTTGAAACTCCGCAATTCGGATATAGAACTTCGAAAAGGAGAGACTGATATTGGCAGAAAGAATACTAGAGTACGACTTGTGTTTCGTGTACACATCCCACAGCCCAATGGAAAAGTCCTTTCTCTGCAGACAGCTTCTATACCTGTTGAATGCTGTAAGTGAGCATGTGGTGATGCTTTTAAGATTTTGCTTACAATAGGTTGCTTTCTGTTGTGCTTGTAATTTATTGTTTGGATCAGAAATGTAAACTGAGGCACAGGGTCTGAGTACTGGTGTGATTTTCTCACATGGAAGTGAACTAACTTGTTTTAGCGAGAAGAGTACTGATCTTGGAATTAGAAAATGGTTTCTCACTGTAGTTTGCCCCTATGTAGTGGTATGACTATAGACATATTCTCTTAAACACAGATTTCTTATGTTTAAATGAGGGAGATGAGCTTGATGGTATTTGATGACTGAATCATGAAGGTATGACTCTAATACTGTAAATGTTACTTGGACTTCTTTGGCCCATTAAAATACCAGTCTTCATGTTGGAAGATGCCTATCTCTGTACGCTGACCTGTCAGCTGAATAAGAATTTATAGGTTTTTGTCTTTTTTTCCTAACCACAAAATTATTATATAACGTCAAATTGAGAAATTGAGCACTTTTGTCCCTGATTTACAAAGGCAAGATAGAAGAAAAGGTTCTAGAACCTGATACCTACTCAGGCACTGGAGGACTGTACACCTCAGGCTGGTTAGCTGGTATGACTGAAATACTGAGACTGGTGTTTAGATCTTTAGGGCATAGACTTAGAAATGTTCTGATTCTGTGCCTCAATTTTATGTAGGAGGAAACTGAGGCACAAGTATCTCAAGTACTCATCCAAGGTTACTTGCTCGTTGGTGACAAAGCTGTGCCCAGAACACCAATTTTTTGAGTACTCTTTGAATTATTATACCATTTTATTTATGTTAAGCACGTGCATTTGTCTTAATTTGTGCTATTTTCACTTATACTATCATAGGCATTTTCCCATATCATTAAATAGTCTTTAAAAATACTGTTTTTAACACATGCATAATATTCTAGTATGATTATGCCATCTGTTGAACACATTTTTACTATATTACTTAGAATGTACCTGTGATGGCCATTTTCCACCATAAATATCTGAAACTTGCATTGGTGTACTCCCTAAAGCAATCAGTACTTGTTTTCATGCCCTTTAGGAAAGGAAAGCCATTTGAAACAGTAGGGGCATAAGTATTTTCTGAGATATAGGTTGGTGCCTGGTACTTCCCAAGGTGTGTTTGATTCCAAATCCCACACCCATCTCCAATGGAAGACTGTTTTAATATTCTCTTTGAATGGGGCAAGAGTCCCAACTCACTTACCTGGCTGGGTATTGAATAATTGGGAGAGACAGGAGTCATAGTAAACTTTTCTAAAGACATTCACGTTTAAATTTATTTAAAATGCTATGCTACCAAATAATACACAGCTTACCCTCAAAACTACTAGTTTTCCACCCACATAGTAGGACTAAAAGTAAGCCTGTTTTCCAATTGTGAAGAAGAGAGAGTAGTCAACCCTTTTTTTTTTTTTTAATCCAGAAAGAAACCTAGATATCTAGGGATTTGACAAGAAAACATTAGAGAACCTAAGCATTCAAAAGGAATGTAATCTACAGCCTGAAGTTTAAACAGTTAAAAAAAAAAAAAAGTGCAGAAATAGGATCTCCAGGAAATATCGGAACCAGTCAATATCAGAGAAGAGTGTTACCCAGGACGCTGTTTATAAAAATTGATAATTTAAATAATGACCCTTTAGGCTTATGAAAAATTAGATTATGTTGCATATACTCTAGGAAGGCAGAGAAATGCGCAATGACTACTGAAATATTTACAGTCATTAAAAAAGAATCAGTATTTTGGTATGTTCATTTATTTAGGAAAGTGACCAAAATGGAATCATGATGTCTCAGTAATGCTGGGTAAATAACTCTTGATCTAGGTATTTTCTTGATGAAAGGGCTACTTGGTGTTTGTCCTGTAATAATTCCTCAAAAACTCATCTTCTCTTAATTGTACACAATGTAATTATACATTATTTGCTTTTTATAATTAGATTTATGAATTTTAGCAGACAGCTATTTGTGTGGAAGAAATGTACTAAAGACTTAAGCCAAAAAAAAAAACAGATGAGGTGAATGTGTTGTAGTCAATACAAAGTCACAGAATTGAGTTAATTTCTCTTTATTAGTTGCTTTTTTACAATGGTAGCCTAAGAAAATAATCTAGAAATCATATAAATCTAAGGAATATTTTGTTTTCTAAAAATGTAGTTATTTTATGGGTATTAATCATTACCATTGTCTTGAATTCTAAAATCCTGAATGATACCGTATACCTAATATTATGACAGTAGATAGTACAATTATCTTTTTACTTTTACATAATGAATGTCATAGATATTTATCTGTTTCGTTAAAATAGGAAAATATCACTCAACCTAACTGACGTATTAATCCCAGAATTTTTCTCTGTGTATTTTCATTTTATAGCTTGAATTTGTTGTGTATGTATGAAAGATTATAAACTAATATTTTATTTCTTCTCAACTCTTTGGGGGAAAAAAACAATAACAGCCCAGCGGTCTGCTCAAGAACTTCCTCATATTGAGAAGTACAGTATCAACAGTTGTTCTGTAAATGGAGGTCATGAAATGATTGTGACTGGATCTAATTTTCTTCCAGAATCCAAAATCATTTTTCTTGAAAAAGGACAAGGTAAATAATATTTGAGTTGATTGACTTCAAATTAAAGGGCAAGAAGATAAATTGTTCAGATATTTCAGTAACATTAATGACAAAATAGTTTTCCTAAAGCTATAGGCATCCTTTATGTAGTAGATCTTATTATTGTAAGTCAAACATTAAATTTTTCTATAAATGTTAACTGCTCTTGAAGGAATATCTCAAAAGTAGGCTATCCCCGCAAATCTACTGCTAGATACATGCTCAAGAGAATTGAAAACATGTGTCCACAGAAAAACTTGTACACAATGTTTATAGCAACATCGTTCACAACAGCCAAAAAGTGGAAGCAACCCACATGCCCGCCAACTGATGAATGGATAAACAAAGTATGGCATATCCATATAATAGAATATTTTTGAGCCATAAAAAAGAATAAAGCACTGACTGATTCATGCTACAACATAGATGAACCTTGAAAACGTTATGCTAAGAGAAAGAAGTCTGCATAAAAGGCCACGTGCTGTGTGGCTCCCTTTATATAAATGAATGAACCAATACATAAAGTCAGAAAACAGATTAGTAGATGCGAGGGGTTGGGGAATGACTGCTAATGGGTATGGGATTTATTTTTGGGGTTATAAAAATGTTCTGGAATTAGATAGTAGGGATGGTTGCACAACCCTGAATATACTAAAAAGCTCTGAATTATATATGCTTTTAAAAGATGAATTTTATGGTATGTGAATTATATCAGTAAAAACAAAGATAAATTCTGTGTCCATGAGGGTATTTGATCATGTCCCTCCATGATCATATTTTTAAAAATTTTTTTTATCAATTCCCTCCTGTATTTTTTTAAGCATATTAAAGATTGTAAATATCATTTTTATAAGAATAATATGACCAATACTCATATATCTACTACCCAGTTTAAGAAATAGAACTTTTACCTTTGAAGGCCTCTTGGTGCTCCTTCTCAAATGGATTGCTCTCCTGAATCAACCTGTGCTTTTCTTTATAGTTTTTACTTTGTATATATCGTTTTTTAATCCCCGTTTTTGGACTTTGTATAATATTGCATGTATTCTTCTGAAAATTGCTTTTTCTCCAGAGGTCAAGATTAATATTTTTAAGATCTATATAAATGAAAGTCTTTCACGCTTACCTACTATATAGTTTTCCACTGTATGAATTTACCACAATTTATTACCCATTCTCTCACAAGATATTTGGGCTGTGTCTGGCTTTTGGCACTCACAAACAGTTACCACCAGTGCTCCTGTGAACGTTCTAGTTCTAATCACATGGTGGACACAGGCAAGAATATCAAAATTCTTAAGTTTTGTTAATTCCGTAGGTATTAAAAAGTATCTTGAGCTTTGGATTTATATTTTCCTGATTTCTCTTGCAATTATTACGGGCCATTCAGGTTTTCCTTTTGTGAAATACATGTTCATGTCTTTGCCTTTTTTTCCCCTTGGGTTATTTGTCATTTTCTTATTGACTGACAAAAATTACTTTATATATTCTGGATATCAAAGTGAGTTGAGTTGGGAAAGTGTGTTGGGTTGTCTCACCTGCCTTTGAACATGTGGCAGAGCTTACCTCTGAAACTTTCTAGGCCAGTGGCTGGCTGTGTTGGAAGCTTTTTTAACTTCTGATAAAATTCCATTCGTGGTTATAGAATCATTCAGATTTATCTTTTTCTTGAATTAGTTTTGGTCACTTATATTTTTCCAGGATTTTATTCTTTCACCCAAGTGTTCAAATTTATTGACATTAATTTGTTCATAATATTCTCTTTCTGCCTCTGGAGTTATAACCCCTTTTTTATTCCTACTATTATTTATTTGTACCATTTGTTTTTTTAATCCATCTTTCTAGAGTTCTTGGCTTTATTGATCCTTTCAGTTGTGTCTTTGTTTTCTGTTTCACTAATTTCTATATTATTTCTTTCTTATCACTTTTTTTTTCCTTAATTTAATGCTAGGTCGTTTGTTTTCATTCTTTCATCTTTGTGTGTGTTAAGTATGTATATAACAAAGCATTTGCCATTTCATCTTTTTTTAACTTAAGCACTTAAGGCTATATATAACTCTCATCGCTCATCTCTATGATTTCACGACCTTTTTTATCACTGACTGAATCGTTTTTCTCAGAGTTTAAATACGTTCAAGTCTCCTTATCCTAAACATTATCTTTTCCTTGGCTCTGTCGTCCTCTTAATCTGTCTCTTTATTCCTCTTCCATTTATCACCTTCAAATAAGTAACGACATCAACTTTTATTTCCTTACCTACTACTTCTGTATGTTTTAGTCTTTTGTTTTTCATGCCTTTGAAATCATAACCTCCTAAAAATCCATTTGACAACCAGCCACCCTCTTTCTTTCTTAACACCCTTTTCTGTCTTGGCTTTTGTGTAATTGTACTTATCTGGTTCTGAGCAAATCTTTAACTGTTCATACTTGTCTTCTTTACCAGTTTTTCTGGCCCTTAAATATAGATGTTTCCCAAGATTCTATGTTCAGCTTTCTTTTCATTACATTCCTTCTTCCAGGGAAATTTCATCAGCTTTCAGATCTCTTATCTGGAGTTGCATTCTTTGTCTTAAACTTCTAACCTGCACTTTAAAGTCTCCAGTGGATATTGCCACATCATTATCTCACTGATAATTAAAATAGGAAAACATGTCTGACCCCAAAAACCAGTTTATTTCAGTGGGTTTTCTAGCTTGATTAATAATGGCAGGACTTCTTTTTCTTAGGCTGGAAACTATGTGGCTGTCTTCTCCCTTAAAATTCACTTCCGTCAACCTCAACCCTGCCTAGTATCCTGCCTGTCTTCAAAAAATAGCAGTTCATTAGGTAGGAACCTTAGAGGGGCAGTGAGTTTATGTTAATGAGGGAGGAACAACTCAGAAAAAGAGGGTTAGAATGTAATCAGTATCACTGAATTGCTGCTTTATGGCATAAACAAGGAGTCTTTTATCTGTTGAGTAATAGAAAAGTAAATAAGAATTTTTTACAACTTTAGAAGAAAGATACTTTCCTTATATTAAAGTTTAGGAAAGATAAATAGTTGGTGTCTTTCTTCCCTTTTTTGTGTATAGGGAAATTAGAAATGAAAGATTATCAGAAGGTTCTTATTGAAATTATCATTAATTTATTTCTCTGAGTTCAATAAAAAAAGAAATTCAGTAAAGAACGTATATAGTAGGCAAAAGATAATGTAATTCAGTAGAAACTGTTGAATTGATGTATGTTTTGCTGTGTATATTCTCAACAACAACAAAATAAATAAAATTAAAAAGAAGTAGTTCTTTTTCACAATTTAATTCATCAATTATTTATGAAGCGGCTGCTATGTGAAAGACACTAGTCTAGACATTGGAGGAATTATAATGGCAAATAAAACCTTCAGGTTGCCTGCTCTGATAGAACTTACATTCTAGTGGGGGCACAGACAGTAAGCATATAAACAAGTTTAAGTGAGCAAGGTAATTCCAGGTAAAAGTGCTATGAAGTAAAAGAATGACTAAATGATGAACTATTTATATCAGATATAAAGGAATATCTTTCTGCAGAAGTCACATTTTCTATGATACAAGAAGTTTAAGGAAAAGACAGTGTCTGAAAGCTGTCCTTCCTTTCCACTGTAAAAAACTCATTTGTGCCTCAGTACAATAAGTAGAATTTATAAGGCTGTTCCATTATAGAATTCCTTTTTATTTAACCCAGAGCTTCACATTTAAGAGCTTTTAATTTAAATTGAATCATGTTAAATGTTGGCAGTTACTGGCCTCTAATGAGGTTACAGTTGTTAACATGTAACACCCATTCTAAAAGCTCTTTCAATGATCCCCTTCATTTTTTCGGCTCCTTAATATGGCATTCAGGCCATGATCTGCTCCTTAGCTTTCCAGCCTCATTTCTTACCACTCCCTGCCTCATACTTTATACTCCTTCAGCACACCTGCTTATGGCTCCCTATGTCATGTGGTTTCTTGTCTTTGCTCATGCTGTATCTCCTCTGCCTAAACTTCCCTTCCCCCATATCACCTTATCTTTAAGCTCAGTTTAAGGGCTCCTCCAGGAAGCCACCTCAAGACTAGATTAAGCACCCCGACCTCTGTGTTCTTGGTGCATCCAGAGTGCACCTTTATTAATTGTACCTACCACATTTCATTGTGATGAACTGTTTGTGTTTGCTTTTCATCCACAGACTGAAAGGTAGGATATCCTGTCTCCATCATCTCAGTAACCCAGAGTGCTTGGCACATAGGGACCCAGCAAGTGATTGCTGAACTTACTTATAACTCTGAGTAGGCATAGCACTTGTATATAGTATCTCTTGTTCCTCAGAGATAGTCATTATCTAGTTACTGGAAGGTATTTGATGAAGTCTCTCCCAGTGTCTTCACAGTCATGCTAGCTGCGAAGATACTTGTGTGAGTTAGTCGCTGGGTGAATGCCCATTACATAAAAAGAATGCTTTTGAATAGCTGCACATCTGTAGTGTGGAGTAAAAGCTTTAGTGGCAAATTGGGCTCTTCCCAGGTGAACGGTTCTATGAATCACTTGGATGAAGAGACAGAAAGTGTCCTGGCCAGATTTTCAGGTGATACAAATCTGGAAAGCCTAGCTGTCAAATATTTTAGAAAATTATCAGGATCAAAAAAGATCCTGACAAGGTGAGCAATTCAACAAAACAGAATTTTTTGTTGTTAGGTGCCGTCAAGTCGGTTCCAACTTATAGTGACCCTACAGGACAGAGTAGAACTGCCCCATAGGGTTTCCAAGGAGCAGCTGGTGGATTTCAACTGCCAGGCTTTTGGTTAGCAACCAAGCTCTTAACTGCTACTTCACCAGGGCTCAAACAGCTTAGTAGGGAGAAATTAACATTAAAAGGGTTGGGAGAAAGAAATCAGCTGCATTAGTGCACAGTGTGGGAGCTTGAGTTTGGCAGTAGGAAGTGTGGCAGACCTAGCAACACTTGTCTGCACACTTAGTGTGAGAGTTAGTGTGATGCAGCTGCCAAGAGAGCTTTCATTAACAGAGACGCAGCATCTCCACCTAGGGTGGTGAGAGCCTCAGTCACTCTTTACCATGCTGGCTCATTTCTTACCTGGGCTATTCAGTCCTGGGCCAGGTGTGTTTGGAGGGAGATGGTCAGCCCGGAGGAACATGTCCAAAGAAGAGTGACCAGGAAGGCCAAAATTCTGTGTAAGGGATAAGTCCAGAACTGGGGATGCTAGCCAGGAGAAGAGGAGATGCAGGCAAACATGTTAGCTGTTTTCAAACATCGAAAATATTGTCTCACAGAGAAGTAAACTAAGCCAAACTTGTTGCAGTCATGTTAATTCCCACTCAGAGCCACCCTATAGAACAGAGTGGAACTGCCCCATGGGGTTTCCAAGCTGTAAATCTTTATGGAAACAGATTGCCACGTCTTTCTCCCACAGAGCAGCTGGTGGGTTCGAATCACTGGCCTTTCTGTTAGCAGCCAAGTGCTTAACCACTGCACCACCAGGGCTCCTCCACAAGGAAGTACTCAGGCTTTTTTTGGGTAGCCACAAGGAATAGTACTTAGACCAGTGGTTGGCTACTATAAGGAGACAGATGTCATTTATCATGAAGAACTTTCCAGCAAATGTCCAAAGATGGAATGGGTTGATTTCCCTGGTGATAAAGTGAGGTTCCCATCACATGGGTTTTACAAGCAGAAGTTGGTTGCCACTTGGTGGGGTGCTCTCAGAGGACTTTCAGACATCAGTTAGATGGATAGGTAGAACAAAGTCTGTGGGGCCTGCTAACCTGCACTGCCTGAGATCTTTCTTCCGTTCGTTTTTCCCGTGTGTACACATTTTATTTTCATAATGGAAGTTAGTGAGAAAAAGATCCCCTTTACCAATAAATTTGTGATACTACATGCGTTAGATTTTGTTTGTATGCTTTCTAACTTGAATTGCTTTTAACTGTAATTTGTTTCTTTCAACAGATGGACGACCTCAATGGGAGGTAGAAGGGAAAATAATCAGAGAAAAATGTCAAGGGGTGAGAAATTTACTGAGAAGTTTAATGAGAAAATTGAACAGTGCTGCTTTATGGTATAGACGAGGAGTCTTACCTAATGAGTAATATAAAAGTAAATTAGAATTTTTACAGGTTTAGAAGGGAGATAGATACTTTCCTAATATTAAAATTAAAGTGTAGAAAGATGAACAGTTGGGGCCTTTCTTCCCTTTTTTGTGTATAGGGAAATTAGAAATGAAAGATTATCAGAAGGTTCTTATTGAAATTATCATTTATTTATTTGTCTGAATCCAGTAAAAAAATAAAAAATTTAGTAAAGAACACATATATAGTGGCAAAAGATAGGAGGAAGACAAACCCTCAGGGATTTCTGCATTTAACTATTCCTAACTCCTCAGCTGCTTTATTAAGCCTTCCAGGAATCCACACTGAAAGCTGTGGTCCCTTCATCCCAGTTGGAATGGAGACAGAATCTTCTCTGGGGTAGGGAATACCACTCCCCACATTGTTCTCCAAAGACCTGGAGAAATTAGGTTGAGGACTGCATTTGTTTGGAACTAAAGGTTTTCACCCTGCTTGTTTAAAATTATTTTTGATATGGATACAGATTTGGTGTATTCCCTAATTCAGAACACTTTAAATATAAAATTTAAGATAAGAAATCCAAACGTAATACAACTTGGGAAACGTTAAACATGGTAAAAACCAGAGTTGATTTCTAGTTAAGTAACATGCAGTATTCATTAAAGTATCTCATACATACAAGTATCTCATATATGCAACTAAAAACCAAATTGGGTGGGTAAAAATAAATTTCTTTTTTAATGATTTACTTTAAAGGGCTTATCTTATGTGAAGTCTGAAGTATCCATATAATAAATCTCCAGACAACTTACATGACCAGTTGATACGACTTGTAGTTAAGACTCATGAATTGTGCTGAGTTTAGCAGGTGCATTTCATTTTTAGTTCTGAGTGTAACACAATCTTCCTTTCCATTCTCCTTAGGCTCACATTGTCCTTGAAGTTCCTGCATATCATAACCCAACAGTTACAGCTGCAGTGCAGGTGCACTTTTATCTTTGCAATGGCAAGAGGAAAAAAAGCCAGTCTCAACGTTTCACTTACACACCAGGTAACGAGGGTTGTTGTGATGGTTTACTGTAGAGCTTTTTTTTCATAATGAATAAAAAGTTGCTTGATGAATCCTATATTAGAATGTTTAAGGTAGAGTGCTTATAAGCAATAAAAATAACCAACATTTGTCTTATCTGTTAAGTTTGTGTTGACTCTCTGTGATATCAGTTGTTATATTGTACTTATTTATTCTAAGGAAATTAGAAAATTAAATATAGGTTTGACGTCTTTTTTTTCAGGAGCTACCAAAAATCACCAGCACTACAGAAAGGGCATGTGTTTATGAAAATGTATGTTCTCCTGGGTCCTGAACACCCCTTGTACCCTTGACAAGGGTACAAGCTTGCCTACTTCATAATATCTGTATCTTAGCCATTCCCAATCAGATGAAAAATCTCTTATTAGATTTTCCTTTGGCAAGGAATGACTGTACCATACTGTGGCTGTAGGGGATATAAAGTTGATGCCAAAGTTTCTGATTTTATAGATTTTATACCCTAACAAATGAGGCTTCCATACCTCTTTTGCAGCAGTTCAAGTGATATAATTTTCCAGTTCTTGATTGTACACATAAATATTATATGCAGTAATTCATGCTCATGGTTATATAGTTAGAGAACAAATATTTATATAGACCTTCTCTATGCTAGGCAATGTGCTAGTCACCAGGGTATATAATAATAAAAAATCATAGTGAACCTTACTCTCCAAAACATTCACTCTTGCAAGAAACTTTTAAATGGTTTATAGTAAATGAAAAGAACAAACACTTGAGTGCTGGTTGTTATTAATGGTCATTCATTCGTCATTCATGTCCTTTAATGCTCGGTTATACTCATTTATAATCTCTAAAGGCTACTTATGTTCTAAAATCTGAAAATCAATATTACTTACTAATTTAAGTACATTTTCATTTTCAAATAGAATACAAAATTTTGAAACTAAAGATTTCAGTGAGCCATTTCATTCACTGATTTATTCAATAAGTATTAAGTAGGTGAGCAAAACTCAATTTAGTCCCTGCACTTATGGGATTTACAATCTAGTGGGACAAATAGAAATTACTAAATTACTGACAATTTTGTAATTAGAAACTATAAAAATGGCATAGGACAGTGTCTGACCTCCTCTAACTTCTCAAGGGGTAAGGAGAATCAAGATCAGTGGCCCACGGCTGATTCCTCTGAGGAGAGAGTCAGACATGCCTCCTCTCTCAGCCATCTTTACCAATTCTGACACCAGCTGTCCCTCCCACAGCATTCTCTACTTCTCTGGTGGGTTCAATAATTCATTGCACTGGCTACACAGAACTCTTCAGACCAAACTCACAATTATGGGGTTTATTAGGGAAGTAACAGGTTACAATTTAGGCTCAGGAACACTCAAGGATGGACTTCTTCCATCAGGACAACCTCTCCTCACCTGTGCTCACAGGCACACCTCTCCCTGGCCCTAGGCCTCTGCCTAAAGGCACCCAGCTTTCTTGCTCCATGGGCCAGGAGGCCCACTGCGCCCTCTCCTGTGAGTCTCTCCTGCTGGTGTCTCCTTCCTTGGTGGTGGTGGGCTCTTCTCTTTCCCGCCTCTGGGGTGACTCGTTTCAGGTGCAGTGGGATGACAAAACTGACCAGTCCCCTTGGTGGGCCACAATTACCCTATCATATAGTCCTGCCCAGTCACCTGGGTGGGAGTTACAAAACCATGGCAAGAAAGGCCGCTTACAGTGATCCATCACACTGCGGAAACTGAGATACGAACTCTAAAGGAAAGAGATACAATGCTGAGGGTACAAATAACTGGGACCCTTGCTTGGCTAATTGGTTGAAAACTGGCTTCCATGAGGAAGCTGATAAATAGAAAATAGTGTTGTTGTTGTTGTTAGGTGCTATCGAGTTGGTTCTGACCCATAGCAACCCTATGTATAACAGAACAAAACACTGCCTGGTCCTGTGCCATCCTTACAGTTGTTGTTATGTTTGAGCCCATTGTTGCAGCCACTGTGGTTTTTAGTTGTAGCAGAAATAAAAATAGTCTTACCATATACTACATATGAGATACTTTAATGAATGTTGCATGTTACTTAACTAGAAATCATCTCTGGTTTTTACCATGTTTAACATTTCCCAAGTTGCATTACGGTTTAGATTTCTTATCTTAAATTTTATATTTAAAGTGTTCTGAATTAGGGAATACACCAAATCTGTATCCATATCAAAAATAATTTTATACAAGCAGGGTGAAAACCTTTAGTTCCAAACAAATGCAGTCCTCAACCTAATTTCTCCAGGTCTTTGGAGAACAATGTGGGGAGTGGTATTCCCTACCCCAGAGAAGATGCTGTCTCCATTCCAAGCGGGATGAAGGGACCACAGCTTTCAGTGTGGATTCCTGGAAGGCTTAATAAAGCAGCTGAGGAGTTAGGAACAGTTAAATTGCACAAATCCCTGAGGGTTTGTCCTTCTCTCATCTTTTGCCGCTATATATGTTCTCATGAGATAATGTGTATAAAGTGCCTGGTACAGGGCTTGGCACAGAATGAGTGCTTAATGCACGTTAGCCACTATTATCATTGCCAAAAAAAATCTGTTGCTAAGGAATACTCTTGTGCTAGAATGGATGAGGAAAGTCTAAGGGTATCTGCGTCAATGTTGATGACACAGTTGCTGCCACATCCTGTTGAGATTAGTGAAGTCTGTGACTGATTGATATGTGTGCCCCACAGCATCATCCCAGTGACTTGCACATAGTGGGCACATAATAAACATCTGTCAAATGCATGTTTTCAGAAACGCGTAAGTGATCTCAGGACCAAAATGAGTGCTGCTTACGTGTTTTAGAGGAATAATCCCTTTAGTGGTATATTCTCTTGTGTTTGGAAATAAATTTATTAACCATAGTATTTCCCCCAGCTAGATGTTTTCATCGTTACAAGGACTGAATGAGAAGGTAGCATTGACTGTTTTTTCCAGTACTTCTTTTGATCCCCCACTACTCCTCTTGTAATATGAATCTGATGCTGGTTGAGGATCAGATGAGATATATGGGAAAACCATAGTAAACGAGAAGCTCTATAAGTGTCAGATTTATGATTTCTGGTATATGATGCAACCTATAAAACCAGGTGACTGGCAAAGTTCAGATCAGGGATCCCAAATTCAAGGCTTTATTCGGCCATAGGTTTTTAAAAAATAATTATTTTTGAAGAGTTAATATATATACATGATAAAATAAATTCAAAAGGCACAAAAAGAGTATACAGTAAAAAGTAAATCTCCCCCGTTCCTGTCTCTTAGTCGCTTAGTTTCCTTTCCCAGAAGCAAACCCAGCAGTTACCAGTTTCTTTTGCATCTTTCCAAAGATATCCATACACATATAAGCAAAAGCGTGTGTACGTATGTCTGTATATTTTACGTAAATTATGACATACCAATATTCTGTAGCTTGTTTTTTGTCACTTAGCCACATATCTTAGAGATCCTTCCATATCAATTCAATAAGTTCTGTGCAGTGTTGTTGCTTTAAACTTGAATACCTTTAGAGCCAGAACCACTTCCTATTTTCTTATGCTTGCTGACTTCACTCATTTTATATCGTCTGTCTTCCCTAAAGGCGTTTGAGTATGCAACCCCTGGCTTGAATGCACACCACAGTTGTGTAGTCTAGAGTGAAGGCCTGTCATGATTATTTTATGTATTGTGAAATAACATTTGCTTTAATCATTTGCTTTTCAGTTTTGATGAAACAAGAACACAGAGAAGAGATTGACTTGTCTTCAGTTCCATCTTTGCCAGTTCCTCATCCTGCCCAGACCCAGAGGTCTTCCTCAGATCCAGGGCACCCACATGATAGTGTTCTGTCAGCACAGAGAAGCTTGGTTTGTCCTGTCCAGCAAGCATATGTATCACTGGTAACCTCATCCCATCTGCCTCAGTTGCAATGTAGGGATGAGAGTACTGGTAAAGAACAACATGTGATGCCTTCTCCAGTCGTGCACCAGGCTTTTCAAGTCACGCCTACGCCTCCTGTGGGGTCTTCCTATCAGCCTATGCAAACTAATGTGTACAATGGACCAACTTGTCTTCCTGTTAATGCTGCCTCTAGTCAAGAGTTTGATTCAATTTTGTTTCAGCAGGATGCAGCTGTTCCTAGTTTAATAAATCTTGGCTGTCAACCACTGTCATCCATACCATTTCATTCTTCAAATTCAGGCTCAACAGGACATCTCTTAGCACACACACCTCATTCTGTGCAGACCCCACCTCATCTGCAGTCAATGGGATACCATTGTTCAAATGTAGGACAAAGATCTCTTTCTTCTCCAGTGGCTGACCAGGTCAAGGGGCAGCCTTCCCCTCAATTACAACCCATTGCATATGGTCCTTCACGTTCAGGGTCTGCTACAACAGCTCCCCCAGCAGCCTCTCATCCCCTGGCGAGTTCACCACTCTCTGGGCCACCATCTCCTCAGCTGCAGCCTATGCCTTACCAATCTCCTAGCTCAGGAACTGCCTCATCACCGTCTCCAGCCACCAGAATGCATTCTGGACAGCACGCAACTCAAGCACAAAGTACAGGCCAGGGAGGTCTTTCTGCACCTTCAACCTTAATATGTCACAGTTTGTGTGATACAACTTCATTTTCACCTGACGGAGCAACTATAAGCATTAAACCTGAACCTGAAGAGCAGGAACCTAACTTTGCAACTATTGGTCTACAGGACATCACTTTAGATGATGGTAAGTTCATCTTTGTGTTCTCAAAGCAATAAAAATCCGGAAACTTTGTTCTCCAAGGGTCACAAAAAAATTACCATGGATTGTTTATTGGCATATGGTTGGGCTTTTAAATAAGTTATTGCAATTAGAAGTATATGTTAATATACGACTCTGAGAAAGATTTGAAAAATTTATGCTTTAAAGTCTGTTTTTCCACTAATTATCTGTTGCTGATTAGGGCATGTTTTCTTCTAGAAAGTATAATGAGGTCATAGTGTCTAGAGAATGGAATTCAGGGGTGTTAATTCAGCTAAATATCTTTCTTTGCAAGGCACAGAGCTAGATGCTGGGAGTACTAGGAATGTATTAAGATAGAGTTTCATCCGTTTAGATTCACACAAGTAATCTGCTCTGCCCTGTGGCGTTTCTGGCTTGCTGAGTCACGTAGCAGTGATGGTACAAGACAGGATTGGTTTGCTGCTGCTGCTGCTACAGCTGTTGGCACAGAGATAAGAGGAAGTTCTTTATGTAAATATAGTAAGTTGGTATATAGACTTCTGATTGTATGCAATCAATAAATTAGAGAACAAACTAGAATACCAGTCATCTCAATAATTGAAAATTCCCCGAGGAGAGATATTCAGGTAACAATTTCAGAGTGTATTCTTGGCTTTATTGTTGATATGGAAGTAAAATTTTATCTAAATAGGAATTCAGTGAAAGCTACCTGTAACTATTGTTCAAAATGAAAATACTAAAGATTCTGAAACATGGATATAGAATTTTAGTACTGTCTCTGATTCTGTATTAATCTAGTGTGGAAAAGTAATTCTAGATCAGCCATTTCCTTTTACAGATCTGGAGAGGCTGAGTTCACTACTTAGTTGCAAAGCTGGTGTTAAATCCCAAATCCCAGGCAAAGGGGGGAAGGAAGGCACCCCTTCTCCTGGTGCTTTGCGGTCAGAACTGTTATGCCAAGCAGCGTGTCTGAGTCATTCTAGCCAAGGTATAAAAGAAGCACATTCGGATATCAGCAAAGAATTGTGACAGATTTCATAGGAAAGTTGGTCAAGGTTTCCTTGAGGAGGTGACATTTGAGCCAAGTTTTGGAGGACGAGTGTGTGTTTTTAGTAAATGAAGATCAGAGGGCAGATCAGACAACCTAAGCAAAGACACAGAATTATGTCTGGGAAAGCATGATTATCTTGTGGCTGGAGGGTACATGGTATTGTAGAAGATGGCTTTCAAAGCCATGTGGGGACGTGACATGGTTGTGTGTAAATGGAAGGTATATGTGTAAACTGAAATAACACCGACAATTGGCAAAGCATTTTCCTGTTCATTATCTACTGTAATCCTCACTGATCCTCTCTGAGGTGGATGGTGACTTCTAGAGAGTTGACTTCCCAAGGGTCACACAACTAGTAAGCATTAGAGTTGAGACTGGAATCAAATCTTTTCAGTCCACTCTTTTTGTTGCAGCACTACAGCTGCCTCTCAGCAGCAGCACACCATGGTGGTTAGAACTTCATGCTAAAGGGGATCCCTTAAGCTTTTTTTAATTCTTGGAGACTAGTGGAACATTATGCATGTGCAGAATTTCACTGCATGAACATATGTTCACAATTGCAATCTGATCTGTCACACTTGCATTGGCAGTACTTGAGGGCTCTGGTATTAAGCATTTTGCTGTTCTCATTATGTACATCTTGCATGAAACCAGGAGGTGGAGAGGAGGCTACTACTTTTATACAAAACTTACTTGAAACATGCTTTTAAAATGTTAACTGTTCATTTTTTAAGGTCCCTGGGTGGCACAAATGGTTTGCTCTGGGCTACTAACCAACAGGTTGGCAGTTCAGACCCACCATCGGCACCACAGAAGAAAGGCCAGGCTTCCATAAAGATTACAGCCAGGAAAACCCTATGGAGCTCAGCTCCACTCTGTTACACTTGGGGTCGCCATGAATCGGAGTTGACTCTACAGCAGTGGGTTTTTGGTTTATTCATTCTTTTGGTAATTTTTAGACTAACTGTTATGGAGCTTTTCAAGAATTTTATATTCTGAATTTTAATCCTTGAAACAAAGGATGAGACCTTGGGTTATCACCTACCACCCATTGTGATGGAACTAACAGACATGAGGTTTATTGAGCAGGTCTCCAAGGGTATTCCAGTGTATTCTCTTTCCAAATGAAGATATTTTTTCTTCTAAAAAGTCACCAAATGTAGAACCTACTCTTTCTTATTTATCATAGATTGAGAGATTTTTTTTGGCAACAAATTGGAACTTCTAAAAGGTCTTGTGAAAATTTATTTTACCTTTTAGATATGTGAACACGTAAAAACAAAATCCAGGGAGATCAAGTCTGTGAGGGCAGGTAGAAAAGTGATTTCATTTTTGCCCCATTCATTGTGCAGGGCACCTGATCAAGAAAAGTTCCCAGATTGTAGCCCCACAGAATGCAAGAACAGATTATTGAATTCCCTCATTGCTACCTGTCAGGGAACTTAATAAAAGCTCGGTGGTGCTAGCAGTAATTAAAGAAAGGAAGAAACTGAAGCACACTCCTGAGAACCACAATTATTGGCTGCATTATTTTTCCAGAATGCGTTTTTGATACTGTCTACATGAATGAGATTTAAAATGAATTTTTGATGTTTGGCAGTTACTCATTTTGGTGTTTGGATTTGCCTTTGAAGGTAGAATTTCTAGATGTTTGGAAAATCCTAAAATTCTCCAAAGTCTAATGTAAATTCATTTTAAAAAAATCATATAAATCTTGAACTCTAGCATTTGAATGTCCCCTTTCTGGTTAGCTTGAAAGTAAGCCATAAAACATGACAAAACAGATTAGGAGCACTTAAAATGAACCTTGCAGTTAGATTTTAAGTTTTCTATATATTAAGTATGAGGTAATTTCCATTCTGCAACAGAGATCACAAGTAATTTTTTAAAATTAGTGCTCTACTAGTTAAATATGCCGATCATCTAATCCAAATACTTTTGTTAATCCTATTTCTGTTTTATATTTATTTACTCTCTTTAACCATATTAAAGATGAAAAAACATGCTTTCTATTTTTGAGGTTTTTAAGTAAGATAGAGTCTTTCAGGAATCATTCAAGTATTAGTTGACTGTTGCTTTTTGAAGTGTGGACATTAACACTTTAATTTCTTATTATAAACTCAGTGACATTTAGTGGAGAAGATATTAGTGCCCTTCAGCTGAGAAATTCAAAAGTTCTCGAACTGGAAATACTCTGCTACAGCTCCCTCATTTTATGGATAGAGAATCTGGGTTTTATAGAGCCTCAGTATTCATCCAGAGTCGCTCACTGAGTTAATGGTAGAGTATAGACAAAACCCAAGTCTCCTGGCTCCTAATTCAGTACACTAGGAGTTTTTCCAATTATGTTTGTAATCAGTTTGTGGGTTGAGACTTTTAGAGTGGTGTAAACAAGTAGAATAGATGAAAGAAAATGCGGTTTTCTCCATAGAGCCTTGGTTTTTAAGAGCGGCCAGGGCAATTTTTAAGATTATAGATTCTCAGTATTAGATGGAGTTTTCAAGGCTTTCCATCCTCCTCTTTCATGTTGGAATTCACACTTTGTTTCTCAGTTGATTTTATATTCCTATGTGTACCTTCCTCTCCAGCTTCTTTGGAACATCTCAGGGCCTTTTGAATTCCAGTTGCCCTTTTTGTTTCATGTGGGCTCTGATGCCTCTGGAATCATGCAGAAAAAATCTAATCCTTCTATAAAACCAAACCCAAACCTGTTGTCGTCGAGTCAGTTCCGACTTATGGCGACCTAGACCTTTAAATGTGTGAAACATTGAACTCTTTTCTAGTCTTAAGAACTCTCCAGAAACTTCACTCTTCCTCATCTTTATGGTTAGTTCTCCCTCTGCTTGAACCTTGGTGTTTTAAGTTCGTTTTCATAGTGCAGTATCCAGAAGGGAGCACACCCCAGCCAGCTCCGAGTGGGTTGGAACTGTCGTCTTCCTTGATCAGAATTTATCTTATCAGTATGTCCTGAGGTCAGGAGACTTAGTTATTTCTTAGCTCCCCCATCATGCTGTTGATTTAGTGAATCATAAGTACTGCTAAGTCACGTCCTTCCCTTGGGTTTTTGCTTCTTTTTTTGGAACCACAGACTAAACTTTACAGTTATCTTTGTTCAGTTTCTCTGAGGTGATTTTGGCCCCTCATATCAACCTTCCAAGCTCAGAAAGGTCCCATAACATTTCTCTGCCTTTTAATAGTATGACTATCTCCTCAGAGGTATCCCTTGGGGTAATAACAACAGCAGACTACCAGTTTTTACCCACATAAGTGTTCTCTTTCAAGCAGTCATTTTGGAAGGCTGTACTGTATACTTGTTCTACCAATTACGGCATTCTTCAAAACCATTTTGCTGCTTGCCTTCATTTTTTCTCTGCTACCTCCATCCCTGTACCATTGCCTTTGTCTGAAGTGTGTTTCACATCTATCAAATTATCAGTGAGTTTTTACTTGTATGTTACAATTTGTGTGCCTCGAGCTGTAATTTTTCCTAGATATAAGTACATTATGGTATGGTATATATGTCCCTTTTTTTTTTTTTTGTCAAATGATATACAGGCAGTCCCCAGGTTACACAAACGTCTGACTTAGGGACAACTCATACTTGCCCTTTAGTGTTGTGTAAATTTGCCCTCACTTTGAAACAATTGAACCAACCCTACGCAAATCAAATTCTTCATCGCAATCGCCTTCACTTGCTGCACATGCAACTTTTAAATCATTGGAAAGGCTTCAACCTTTTCTTGCACTAATCAAACCCATTGCCGTCGAGTCAATTCCGACTCATAGCTTGCAGTAAAGTAAGGTTAAATAAGAACTGTGTGCACCTGTTCTGACTTGACTACAAATTTTACTTAAAAACAGGAATGGATCTAGTTCGTAACCTGGGGACTGTCTGTACTTTAAAACAGTGGATTTATAGCAGTGATATAGAAATTTTCACAGCTTGTGTTTT